GCTACCCCACACCGATTATTCAACTTTTATCACTGAAAACAAGGGAAATGAATCACACTGTGAGATAGAGAAAACAAAATAGTTTTTGGTAGCTATTAGCCGTCCTCTACACGGGAGCGCGTCTTGATCCTGGCCGCTAGTCACCACTTCTTCATGACTCGAGTATACGAGACTGTGAGATAGAGAAAACAAAATAGTTTTCGGTAGCTATTAGCCGTCCTGTACACGGGAGCGCGTCTTGATCCTGACCGCTAGTCACCACTTCTTCATGATTCGAGTATACAAATTCTAAGATGTCGGCTATTCTGCTACTCACTCGATTTACTGGCAAACTCCTCAGCCGTCAGCTCCCGCCATTTAAACTGACGTGCTCCTCCCAAGTGATGTGTGGTGTCTGCCACCAGTTCCAATAACTTCATCACTCTGTTGATCCACCAGTCTGTTAAATCATCGGCGTGTTATTTTGACAATTGATAGTATTCATCTATGGGATAACGTGGAATCTATAGATGGAGTCCTTTAATTCACAGTCATCGTTTGCTTCGGAATATCTAGTGAAGGCATCGAAGTAAGGCATGGGCTCGTGTACGTTGATGAATGGGAAGTTGCGGTAGATAACACCACGTATTAATTCATTGGTATCCCAATCACAGAAACCGAATCTTAAACTTACCGCCATCTCAAACAGAAAATGGGTAAAGTTAGCACATTGTCCACAACCAACTTTAAGGGTTATTCTATATCCTACTGCCGACAGTTTGCATGGTCAGAAATGGTTTTGATTACAAGAAAATGATTGAATGCGGGCTGGATAAGTCTCAATGAATCGGCTATTGGGCCCCGGTGCTGAAGACCGGTTAGTGAAAGTTGCGCACCGAGATGGTCGCTGACGTGTGGATACACTGACAGGCGAACTTGTCGCTATGATGGGCTACGGGTATTCTCAAGACGGTCCAAACAACCAGCACGCATCACGCGCTCCTCCTTGAAGCTAACGTTGAAAATACTTCAGTGAACTTTCAGTTGTTCTTTCAGCTTTTCATTGCACCCCGAGTCTCTATTCATTAATCACCAAGTAGAAATTCCTCGGTCTCATTCTTTACAAAGCATACTACTTGTAGTGTAGCTGAAAGCCCTTTGATAACCCAACACCAGCATTTTCTTTCGCCGGTAAGCGTGACCCCCGAGTTTCTGTCAGCCCTGTGCTATAACTGACCGCTTTATTGTGCGTATCTATTTGCAGACTGAGTTGGTCATAGCGGAAGACTCGGCTGAAGATCTTGTGCGCGATAGTATTTGGCTGGATGCGTCATGAAACTCTACTTCGATATACTTAAACATCTGTGCAGTAGGTCTATTTGAGGGACCCATCTGGGATTCAGCTGAGTCACGCGTTACCACCAAATTAGTGCGCACCTGGAAAATTTCCAGACCCTTGCCGTTTAAATAAATCTATTTTTCCGTTCGTATTCTTTCTTTTGTCGATTTTTTCCCCGAAAGAAGTGTTTTGTGCTTTGTGTTTTGCACTCGGCTAGCAGGAATCCGGGTGTCTGTGCGTCTTGACAACCAGCAGCGTGATGTTGCTTTCACTATGATCGGCGAATTATTTCTCCTATAACTTTATACATATCAGGAACACCTAAACCAAGTAATTGTATTGATGAACTTTTGACCTCAAGTAGTTATTTTGGACTGTGTAAGTTCTGTGAAATGTAGCAAAACCCTGATTAGTACATCAAGTAGGTTGGTTAAATGCATTCGAACTAGGTTGAACGCAAAAATACGCATCAATCGATGTCATATTCTTTACACTTCAGTCAGCCAGCCGATTTTGGCGAAAAAGCCGTCAAAACACTGAGTCTCTGTTTTCAAAAGTGAACGATTCTTCCAGTGAGGGATATCGTTGTTTGCAATCTACAAACTGAGAACTGCTTTACGCTACTCATAGTGTAGCAGTAGTACGGTACTCATTGTTCATAAACGACAGGTCAAATTTACCTTCAGGATTGTTTGAGTTCAACGACCTGGTGGTCTCAAGCTGCACCAGAAACGTCAAACGTACGATGAGTAGTCAGTACCTTAGTTAATGGAAGTATGCTTGTAGGATCTATCAGTCACTTTGTTATTCACACCGTCAACTGACGCTGAGTGACGCCAACCAGGATAGTAGCCGTCATTGGATCGGAAGTTTTGGTCAGGTTTCACTCTGATGAGCTCTGATAACGGCGTAACTCCACACTTCCTCAGTTTGGTATGGACCCACCAGAATCGCTGTGCTGGGAGGGAAAGTGGACTGCACAAAAGAGAGTGATGTTGGTGTGTGTAGTGGGCCATGGGTTCAAAGCGGGCGACACAAAGTTTTGACACTCGAATTAGAGTGGGGATTTCAGCGGAACCAAAAACCACATACAAACTGCCCAAAAACACTGATCTACAGTGCGACTCCACATCGCTAAAGTGTCTACCATGATGATCAGCTTGCTGGGTTAGTCAGTACCACAGGATAAGTCACCTGTACTCTGGTCTAATGGTGAACCGTTAAGTCAGAAAACAGATCAGTTGGATACTGGAATGAGGCTTTGTCTATCCGCTCTCAAAACACCATCGAGTCAACGTCGGTATTGGTGAATAACGTATATCCTTGCCAGACAAGCTGGAAGTACTGGGAACATGCATGTGTAGCCTCAGAGAAATTGCCAAAGTTGCTCGAGTCATCTGTTCTGAATGGCACCATCTTGGATAGCAACGGCCTCGTGGATCACGCACGCCTTCTGCCATGTCATCTGAAACGCCGCTAACTTCCGTTTCGAATGTCCGGTTCGAATCATGGCATGGGCTAATTCCAGTTGATCGAAGATCCCTGTCTTGAAGATGTGTATACCCATGTTTTCCCCATTAAAGAACGCAAAAGTATACTTTTGATGGTAAATAGTTTCACTAATAAGTCATCTGGACTACAAGTATTCATATGTCGTCTGCATCTTAAGTGGCTAGACAGGGACGGATTGGTGTATTTCTCAAGTACTGTAAGGTGTTACTTCACGCATGCTCACATATGTAAATACACAACAGACTCCAAAACCGATGTACAGGGGGTCTCATAATAGACGCAAAATTTGTTTGGATAAATAAACGTAAACAATAAAAAAGATAACAATTTTTTTAAACTTAGTAGCCACATAAAGAAGGTTTCGTGTGCAAGAGTTGATATTTTTTTGTTTACGATTAATGTTAGTACGAGCATTGAAATTGTGAAACTCTAGTATTCCCCTGGTGAAAGCGCCACTGCTGCACTTCGTGGTTACAAAACCAAACATAGTCTCATCAAAGATCCTTTCGCCGTGTCGACCGTTACAGGCTTGATTGCGAAATTTGAGTTCACTGGATCTGTAATGGATTTTCCTGGTAAAGGGAGAAAGTCTCTGAGCGATGAAAGAGCGCCCATTGTACAGAATGCCGTCGAACAACTTCAGTCTCAGAGCATTTTGGCATCTTCGCCAATAACAGAGGTGTCTCAGTTGACCGGCATTCCCCGCGCCAGCGTACATCGTATTATGAGACGCTACTTTCATCTCCACCCGTATCATTTCACTTTATCACAAAACACCATGGAAGAAAACAAGCAGCAGCGTGTCACTTTCGCCAACTGGCTGCTGGACAGTGAAGAAATCGTTCCCAAAATTTTGTGGAGCGATCAGGCAAATATTTCTGTGGATCGCAAAATCGGCAAGCACAACTGCGTGATATGGCCCCGTAAAGCTCCTCACCCGTAATCTCCATTCCCCTCATCTCTGTGTGTGGATGGGATTCTCCTCAACGTGTCTCCTGCGTCCCTTTTTCTTTGATGCTACGGTTTCCGACAACAGTTACCTCCAAATGCTGCAGACGCTTGTTATCCCGAAACCCAAGCATCACAAGAAGTTATCGACCGTCTTTCAACAAGATGGTGCTTCACCCCGCTACTCAAACTAAGTGAGAACTTACCTCCGAGAGCAATTTTCTGATGAGAGAGTCATTGCTCGTGGATTTCCAAACTTTTGGCCGGCAAGGTCACCCGATCTCACACCTCTGGATTATTGGTTTTGGAGGATTATCAAGGCTTGCGTATATCATGAAAATAAACCGAAGAATTCAGTGGAGTTAAGAGCAAGAATTGAAGAGGAGTGTGCACGAGTACGATTGAAGAGGTTAAACGTGCCTTGTCTCACATCTCACACCGCCTCCAACTTGTTATAGAAAAAAAGGGGGGTTTCTTTTACCATCTTTTGAAATGCCAGTTTGTTTACAGTAAACCTCCATGATGTATGTATGTTCCTATAAAAATGATAAATGTTTGAACTGGTGTTTAAGTTTTAACATGGTATTACTTTTTGCGTCTATTATGAGACAACCTGTAGCATGTAACAGTTTTCGATTCAAAGATGGCTGATTTTTTCATTGTTTTGATAGCTGTCCAAAGTTTATCGTGAGGAATACAAATCAGACTAATTTTTAATTCAGTCGGTCTATCAAGTGATTCATTAGTTGAATGGTGAAAAGGAGCAAGAATGTGCCCATCAGCGTGTACGAGCTTCTTTCGGTTACAAACTGAACCAATGTCTCGTTCTCAGATTTCAGAAAGTGGAACACAAGAAAGCTACAATTCCAACAAAGGGCAACATATCTTGACATAGACAAGCTGGGCTTTGGGGTTAGACTGCATGGGTATCATCTTCACCAGCAAATTTAGAAACCTCAGAAATGCTCATAAGTGATAAGTGCTCATCACTCTAATTGGTTAAACGCCGTGTTCTACAGGGTTCAAGGAGTCATGCTCAAGGCTAATAATGAGACCGTTAGCCGAAAAAGGCGCAAATGTTCTTCAGTAATCCACTTGAAGGAGGTCGCTTCCATTTCGTGTTGAGGTGTCTTGAAGCATTTGTCGTTAAAAAACATAAGAATAAAGATGTCCTAATTACGAGATTAATTTAAACCCCCATATGTTAAACAAGATAAGCCGGCAGGGAATCAAATCATTAAAAGTGCCTTGTTCATATACATCACAGTGCAAAGCAGACGAATAAAGTGGAATTATACATAATCATCATTATGCGACAAGGTAGGAGAACAACTTCGGACAAAATACAGATGCAAATCAGGAGTTTGAGCTGTGCAGCCAAGGTCGGCATAATCACTGGGTTACCACATTACGCGCTTAAAAATACGTTTTATATAGAAAAGCAAATGCGGGGTTTGAGGATCCAAATCAGACACAAGGCGACCAGTGTGTAGTTTAGTGTACGAAAAGAAAGTCGACTGGAACTGTTGCATCCATCTTGGTCCTGACAGTAGCAAACCTCCTTGTACACCCCTTGGGCTTCGAACCAATAGCGACAACCCCAGGCCAAACCTACAAAGGAGAAAAGATTATTATCCCGTTGAGGACTTTAGAGGTTGAACGCCAGTGCCTGTAATGACTATAAACACACTCTTATGGACTGGAAACAATTACGGCCAGTCAAATAGGCCCGTTGCAAAACTCTTGAATCACACGTATTCTATTCAGCCTGGCTGGTTGTAACTTTTTTTGCGGAAAATTCAGTTTTATCGAAAATCTGAAAGTCCACCGTATTTTAAAATTGTCCATAGGTAAATCGTATGGGAGGCGTCTTAAAAAGTCCGAAAGATCACAGAACCTCGTGAACGTCGTTTAGGACTTTTCGAAGTTGACTCCTTTGTGTAACACTGATACCTAAAAATTTGTCGTTTAATGTATATATACAAGAAATATTGTACTAGGTCGTTGCGGAGTACACCACGTTGTAAGACGTTTTTCAACTGAGAGTTGTTTTACAATCATTAAATTTACACCCGAAATCCGTGCCGTTCACTTGGACGGGTTACGAAGCAATCGGTTGTGGAATGAATCAACAGCAGTGGTCGAGGTCACTGTATTTAATGAATCCAATTATCAACTTTACGGCAAAAAGTATACCTGTTAGCACGGAGACGTGTAGACTACTGAATTCATCTACTTAATACCTCTTGTTGTGGTGCTGAGTAAAAACGCACTCCTCATTAACTGCTGTGTACTAAAATAACTTGTACCGACCGCATAACGTTCGAGAACACTTCTCGGAGAGTCAATATGCTTTTTTCCAAGACCCGTGATTTGAAAGCACGGGTATGAGACAAGCCATTCTTAGGAGAACGAACTCAAAATTTATCGATCGCCCTATCGACGTCGTGTTTACGGAACACTGTGTTTCACAGGCATGCTTATTCTTAGGCAAGCGGTGCCTTCCCATGGTAAAAACTAAATACGTCCGGAGAATTTTGGGGAAAGCTGGTCACTTCATCTAGTTCAAGTTGTCGGTCCTGAAACGACTTCTGGAATAGTATGAGGCTTTTTTGCTGGCTTACACTGACTAATTCGAATAATTACACTGCTATTAAAAGGCGTCACACCATGTTCAATTGTAAGCTAACTGTACTATCCGGGGGTGGAAAGGATAGCTTTCGTACTTCTGTCTGAAAATTTCAGCCCATTTTAAGCGTAAAACGATGGGTCCCGAGAGAGTTTTCTGTTACTTCACCTTCCTTCTTACAGACAAAATATTGATTTGTTCTACCACGGAGTTTCCTTGCGTAGTAACCAACCGCCGTATTCCAAGCCCCCATATCGATCATCTGTTTCGTTGATTGTAAGGATAGGTGTTTTTAGTGACGGGATTTCCGAGTAATGTACTCAGAACAAAAAGTATCTCATTATCTTGACAGTTGCCACTCGAAGAATAAGACAACACCGAGCAATATGATGTGAACTGACTGTAGTTTGATCACACTTGTGACCAAAAGTTATGAATCTTAATTATGAACCGGAGGTTTAGAAATTCGAATCGCCCTAAAATTTCTTGATTTACAGGCCCCAAGAAGGAGAAATTTGGTCATGGGCTGCCGAACAGCTACCAGAAACCGTAAGAAGACGGTATCTTTAAACAGAAAGAGAACTGTAGTAAGAATTAGGTGCCAAATTTTCTTAGAGGGCCTGATATGATCATATGTCTTCCATCTTCCTAATGGAAAAGAAAAGATACGGAAAGCTATTCCACTTTAATCAGTAGTTTTCGTGCAGTCTGTTGCCTATAAATGACCAGGTTCGTCATGGACACTGAAAGAATACCAGATATGTTTCAATGGTCCTCAAGATATCTTTGTCTCGAGAAACTCATTAATTTGCAAATCAATTTGGTTTTTCGAGAGACTCACCTGGAAACCAGCTGAATCTCTCGGTTTCGATGTTTTCAGGCTGTGCTGCACCAGACCACCTCATGTTTCACTTGCTACGATATTCGAGATATCGCGATACGTGTATATTCGTAATACACTACTCATAAGGTCGAAGTATTTTCAGCAACCTTATGACCAGTGCATTGAATATATCTTTGTCTCACTACCATTCCATATACGTTGTTTTTCAATCATTACTAAGCCCCGTGTTACTGTTTGCCCTGTTTTTTGGGTTTTTACTTCGAAATAACTTGGCAGATCCGGTTAAAAGCACTCCTTTTTCATCCAAATTCAAACACCAAGGGTTTGTTTTAAACCCAATTAAACTGCTACTTCATTTATCACGTAAAACGCCATTCATATTATTCCAGCAACCGTTTACAAAACAACTCGAAGCAGGTAGAATCCATTTTAACTAACCATAATCCGTACGAGCTCCGCATCGGCGAGTTATCTTAATCCAGCTGTTCCATCCCGTACTTTCTTGATAGATCTTCACACAGAATGTTCCGGGAGAGTGGGAAAGGAAACTTCCGCAGTCCACCATTGCGTTTAGGCGAGTGTCGAAAAACCGTCGTGCCGGGCATGAATCGTCTTCGTTGCTGTCACACTGGTAACATCGAATGGCATTGCTGACTACAATGTAGACGATAGTAAGGATAAAATTGCAAACGTCAAAGGATTTAGCAATGAATGAACTCTAGTTTAATCATAAAGCCTACGCATTTCCATGAATACATGTGTCTGTGACGTGCATTCTATCGCATATTTTCAAAGTCAATCTTTCAAGTGCTTAGCGTCAGTCTGATAGCTATCCCTTCGAGTTTACTCTGTGATTGAGGCAAAAGCTTACTGACAGGAAGATACGTAATTCATACTCAACCCCGGCATATTGACTGCTCCTGTCTAGGCTAGGACAACATGGCAGTGTCTCACTGCTCATGCTCCGTTCCACTACCGTGGCAGCCAGGCACCGGAAAAGAGTAACAGCTAAGCGATTGGTATCAGATTTTATTTCCACACGTTGAGGGTTAAACATTTTGCATTCATCGGTTATAGCAAGTGTTTCACACCAAACTCTTCAAAATCACAGCTCAACTTTGAATTCGAATACTTCCTAAGCCACACCAACGATTTATGTATGTGCATATATATATTTGTATATACGTATGCTTGTATATATATTCGTGAATATATAAATGATTTACAATGACACCAAAACCATCCGAACGCCCCAGAAGCTTCTAATTTGTACGCTCAATTTCAGCTTTTCGCTTTGGTTGGGCTTTTTTTGCGTGCTATGCACGGAACTACTTTACAGTTTTATCGAACAGTATCGTTTTTATATGTATGTTACCGTGGCTCCTATTTGGCCAACGAAGGCACCTGCTGAATTCAGCCGATTTCTTAGACACCATCTGAATCCTTATAGCTTTGCTATTCTCTCTGCACCAGCGGCTACGAAGTTTGGATTGCATAGAATGAGTTGAAAGACGTCCAAGCATAACATTTGTGCGGATAGCTTTTGCCAGATTGTTGTCATGATGATCAAACTTCACTCTCAAGATATATCCAATGACATTTGGGGAGATTGGGTTGGTTGTTTGGCTTTAGTCAGTGTCAGCAAGCACTTACTGGCACTGGTAGGATAAATGATAGAACGCAGGTGTGCTATGGTTTTTGAAGACTGAAATTCATGTTTGACGTCCTTGGAACAGCCGATAAGGCCTTGGACGGGCATAGTAGCTTTGATCTGTGAGATTCCTAGGGTCTCTGAAGGCTATCTAGTACGGGACACTAGGTTTGAATGGTGTACCCCACACAAGACATGATTTGGGCGAACATCTGCACGCCAAATGCCCAACATTCTCTGGCTACTCCCGGAAATTTGTATATCGTAGTGCAAAAGTCAGATCTTATTGAGTAACAACCACTACGGAAATGATAAACAACTAAAAGGGACTCATCTCTTGACACCAGGAGATGGGGCCTTCCGCAGTGAGGATTGGTAGATCATCTGAGGGTTACTTGAAGGTGGAACATATTTCTATGTTTCCCATGAGTCTTGAGAAGGCGTTACAGCTGCATCGAACGAATCCGTTTGTAGTGGCAGGGAAGCTGGCAGCACCTTTAGCCTTTTGGCCAAAAATTTCTACTCTGTCGTTTTGTTTACTGCGGACATTTGTTTTGCGATATGTTGTATCATTTTTCGTTTGTACTGTTACATTTGTACACAATCCTTTACAACCGATTCCTGGTCATTCAATCATGGTGAACGTTTTTGTTTGATTTTATCTTAAATTATTGTTTTTAAAGCTTGAAAACTATGGCTTATTACCGAAAATGCACAACAGATGGATCTTTGACAAATGGAAAACAGTATTAGGTTCAGAAATTACCCTCGTGGCACACCACATTGGATAATCCCAAAGTCAGATTTCTTTGCGTGGCAGTCCATAGAGCCAAAGGTAGCTTTCAAGTCAGGGAACACAACCGTTCTTGGTTGTGTTCTTAATGGAAGCAGTGTCGCTGTTCCAGAATCTATTGGAGGGTGAAAATGCGATCCGTGAATCCTCCTGCAACACGAAAACCCAGCTTCGTCTTCACGGGTCTGCCTCTACCTGTGTTCAGTCAATCCTCGAAGTGTAATACCAGAGAGTACCTTTGATACCACAGCTACCAGGCTAATGCCGCGGAGATTTTCCCACAGCGCCCGGGTATTATTCTTTCAGGCACTTTCTTTTTTTCCAAATCGCACCAGTGGACCTTGTAAGATGAGTCTCCATGGATTTTCTACCTTATTTAAAGAAGGCTGGATACAGATCTTACGGATCTGGTGTCTTTTCACACTTCCGTACGGATATTTTGTACTTTGTTTATTCTTCCGACAGCCGATTAACCTCCGCATTTTATTCGCCTGTAAACACTATCTACAAAGCTATGTTTCAGGAGGCCAGGTTAACTGATCTTCAAAATGTTCGGCGTGTGTTTCCAGTTGATATTTTTTTGAGTGAGTTGATCAGCTCTTTTCTTTACTTATCGTTTCACTTACCGGTGCTTCCATAGGGCCAGTTGATCATATCACTTGATACAAGGCACGGCTGTTTCCGATAGCAAAATCCTTCCCCATCTCCCGAGATTTTTCTGTTCATCAGAGCTCTCGGTTTTTCTTCAGGCTCTTCACAATTTGGTGTTTGAGAAATTGGCGTGCACCGTCGTTCTCGTTGCCTACTGGTATATATTTTTTGGGTGTCAGTCATGGATAGCTATCTCAGCAACATCCAGTGGTCTTGTGATGGAGTCATAGGATTTATACAAACAGCACTGAACGCTAATAACGTGGCTCCTTTTCCATTTTGCCGTGCTCTATCTACGTGCCTACCAACAGTTCACTATTGATTCCTTGTAGAGAGTTATTGGACTAGTTCAAATTGATACTATTGAGCTGTGGTGAACTTTCGAAGATGGTGGATTGGCATGCTCCTTGCTGATTTGCAATGGTCTAAGGGGGAACGAACTCTCAGACGTGCACACACCATAGCGTGATAGGAATCAAGTTATGTGCTCCAGAAGTAACGGCAGTGTTGAACTATAGCTCCCCATCGGTGGATGATGGCCACGTGATTCAACTGGGCCCAAGGTTAGTTTGCAGTTGTTGGCCCTCAGGTTACGCGGTGTAAACGTTCATGCTGAAACAATTCATAATCACACCTGGAGCAGTCGCTCTCCGTTTTCTGTGCGATGAGCGATGACTCCAATTCGACCGTCCAAATATGATTTCAAGGAGCTCAGATGACCGATTTGAACATTCATGCTGCCGATAAGGATCACAATATCAGTGCTTCTTGCCTGGCGAAAGAGTCTGGATGACTCTCGATAGAATACATCCCACTCAGCATAAGAACTGCAGTCTATTGTGGAATGACTACAAACAGATACTGTTTTTATGTCGAAAGACACTGAGCTTGATTAGGCTGGATAACCTGGCGGCGCAAAGACGACTATTCAGTGAGATCCACTCTAACAAAGCGCGTTCGGCTCTGAGGCTTGGCGTAGCCCCCCACACCATATATTCCAACAGTCTTCGCCTCTGGATCACCGGAGGGAGAAATGTGATTATTTTCGAGCCCTAGATTGACGAATGTTTCATTCTTCACAAGCATACGACATGGTGCCGAAGAAAACATCTGCACATTATACAAAGCAATTTAAGTAAAGAAACTGGTAAAGATAAGTGTATCCTTTTTACTTAAAGAAGAACATCACATGGCACAGGCACACAGTAGTCTCTGCCACTTTTTATCGAAGTTGACACCATGCCCGTCAGTCTTACATTGTATTAAATGGTATAAAACTGCATTTTAGTAAACTGATAGCGTCATACTGATCTTTGGTGCAATAAAGCCATCATCGCCACCATGGACAGCGCGACTCAGTGTTCAGAATTAATGCTTCACAGTCTGGTTGTTGATCTCTTGCAACTCAAGCTTGTCAACTGCGGTGCTTTAGCAAAGACAATTATTAAACTGTTGACAAAGGTAATTGTCGGTACTTTTTGCGCAGAACGTTTCCCAGAATTTCATCTTTGATGATTTTTGCCATATCTGTGAGGTTAGGCGCTGAGTTGCTCGGAGCACTGCTATTTAGACCCTTGGTTGAGGTATCTGGTTGGAGCACGACTTCTGTAAGCCATAAAGTGCACAGAACAGAGTAGAAAACACAGGCAGTTAAAAATATTGTTTTTATTCAAAGCTCCGGGCAGCCGAGTAATAATTACTTCTTGGTTTCATCGAAAATTTCTATAAAAGTCTTATAGTGTTACTGGGTGCCCAGGTTAGTGTAAACACCTTTACTGCCCTCACACATCTCGAAATTTAGAATTTTAAAGCTGCATGCTGATGAGATATTGAAACAATGCAATTCCACTGGTTGTCCGATGCAGACAAATTTTTGGTCATGTAAAAACTCGACACATCTTCAGCTTACAAGAGCGAAAAAACTCCACCACAGAAACTTCAACTTCATCAAGTCATTACCGTCGATCTCAAAGATTATGGACTTTGTTGTTCAGCTTTCACAAATCATGTAATATTTTGTCACATACTCAACGTGGACTTAACTGGCGCGGGTCCTGTATGAAAAGTGCACTTTTATCTAGTGCAGACTTAAAAGTTTTAAGCGCGAAAGTAGGTGCTACTCAACAAGACTTATTGCATTTGAGTTCAACTAGTGTGTCTACCCCTACGGAAAGTGCACAGTCACAGAGTCCGTGAGCCTCTGTTGCGCCGGATAAGACGGTGAACTTCTGACATATAATTAGGAGATATTACTTTCCTTCCTATTATCACGCGAGGTGGTGCCATTGGAAGCTCTGTATCCGGTCCTAGACTCTCTCCATTTTCCTCTCTCCGGCCCAAATATTTTCGGATACCGTGACAGTGCGGCATCAAATCCAAGTAAGCCAGCACTTGGCTAGTCATTATTCTTATTTGACTGTTTACGGCACATTCTTTCTGTCCACATAATCCACACGCCTTCCGATAAATCCTGTGTCAAAACGTTTTACGATGCGGGAATCGAAGAACCGACCAGCTTGTCATCACGCGCGTTCTCCATAATTGTTCTACGGTGTATTGGATGCACAAATGTGGAATGTGGAAATTTTGGCTTCCTGGAGACAAACATTGGTTACTTCAAGAGACCGCTAACTTTTGGAATCACCTACAATTATTGAGCACAAGTGCAGCAGCCGTAACTACAAAAATGCTGACCGAAGACGAAGCACCCATAGCGCGGTGCAGAAAAGACCGTTCTTGATATTTTCAATCCAAACTGCGGGTAAGTGTCGCTGCACTTATTAGCGCTCTCACACTATGGTAGAATCTTTAACACAGGCTGGATTTTTGTGTGTTAGGCTGCCGCTCAGTAAAGGTATGCATGCTGACATTTGTTTACAGTTCCAAATACCAACAAATTCGTGGCCGAATTCCAAAATTAGAAAATTATTTAAGCCGTTTAGTTTACCGACAATTCTTCTTTCGCTTTGTGGCGGATCCCTATAAACTTGTTTTCGAAGTGAGAATGTTAGTATCCCCTCACATTAGTAAGCCTATCCACTCAAACACCTGACAAGCACATTCATGCATGGCGTCGTTGCTTTTAACGAAACCATACAGTCCGACAACTCACCCCGAGAAACCGATTTCTGAAGCAGAAAGTGTCGTTGAACCAACACGACACTTTCTGCTTAAATTGAAGCTGAATCATTTTAATTTTATGTTTTTTATCCCGTTACTGGATTTTAGTTGTTTTATACCAACGCAAGAAGCAGGGAAGTGTGCCAAAAGACTCCTTTTAGGCCGAAGAAGCAATCGTAAGCATAGAACTATCAACCCGGGTAACTTATCTTCTGGCTTAACGCCTCAGCACTTCATGCCTTTGGATGCAGATGAACCAGTCGTTAAGTGCGTGTATGCAAACAGTTTTAACCTATCTGGCGAGCTGCTGGATATTCAGAGGTCGTATTGCGCCAGCCAAATATTCATAATCACGCTCAAAGATACTTGGCTAACATCTGATGTCTCCAATCCCGAGATCTTCGTTGACGGTTACAATAGGCTGACTCAAAACTTGGGGTGGCAGGCATCGCTGCTATAGGCTTGAAGACAGATATTTCTATTTTATTTGTCCTTTGTGACACCACTACTGTAACGCTATCGTGGATAGATATTTCATTGTGCTGGACAGACTTACTTCCTGAAGTCGTTTGACGTTATCCCTTAATCCAGTCGTAAAACGACATGGTTTTCACGCAAGAACTTGAGCAGCTATATACCGCCACTTTATCTTTCGTTATAGCTGTCAGCAACATGTTTAAGACATTCTAGATATGATCTCAGAATGTCGTGTCTAGTAAATATTTTGCATCAGTGCTGTCCAAAGACTTGCAACAGAGCACTTAGACCCACCATGTCGACACACCGGGTAGATATTGCACAGATCCCCTTCTAGTCCTACTGAATAGGGTCATTACTATTGAAAGCCCCTTCTCTGATCAAGTGCCAATGAAGCTTCCATAGGATCTCTTAAGCATTGTGGGCTGACTTTACTTGATCTGGTACCAGATCAGGGACTCCATACCTTCGGAGTAAATTCGAAGCTTCAGCTGCAAAAATTTATCCAAAATGTATATATTCTTTGAACAAGTTGAACTAAGCCGAATTTCAGTGTAGGGAGATTACGCAACGGCTAATCCTGAAATTCACTGCACTTATGCAGTTTTCCTCTCAAAGAGACCAACAAGCAGTCTACCAGACCAAAAAGATTTGGTATCTTCTGGGAAAATTGCGAATTATTCATAGAAATGATGATTACATGAGTTTTGGGAAACCGGATGGTATTGTATAGTACGCGGAGTCAGTGTAGATATGATATCCGCCAATTAGACTTATAGAACCAAATCATGACATTAAATATCCTACGGAAAAAATTTACTATTCAAAGACATTGGGCGTCGCCGAAGAAACTAGTCGGCGGTCTCCTCCATAAGGGGCAAAAGCCAAAGTTCACGAGCCACCAAGAAGTAGTGACCGAGGCATGAACAAAACAATATCTAAGTTCTTTTTGCCTCAGATACCTCATTCCGATTAGTATTGGCATTGCAGAACCAATTCTGCAACTAGGTTGTTGTGTATGGTGGCACGCCAAGTTTGGCCAAATATTTCTATCCCATTTTCTATAGTCGCTGAAAGATGGCAATATATCTTCTGCTTGGAAGAAGGCATTCGTTGCGCTAATTTACAGAATTGTTGGCCACATATACACCTACAGATAGAGGCTTAGTAGCTTCACCAGCGTACAATGCAAGGTGCTGAAATGCAAACTATTCAAAATCACCCCGTCTTACAATGTGTTACCCCACGTGCGACATAAATTCTTACCGAACTCTTCCTGCGTGGCAAAAATTTTTGTGTATGTAGACAGCTTATCACGAGCCAAAGATGAGGGATTAATCTAGAAGATTATGTTTTTCAACGTACTAGCAACATTAATTTTAGGTCCCAAAGTCCCATCGCTCCATAGATTCACGACGTAACAGATTTAAGGGCAAAATTTACTGTGTGCAGGATGCCCCTCAATGTGAGCCCCTCCTCCTGGAAGTAGAGAAGCTCATTTATTATTTATAGCAGTCTCTACTTCAAGGACCTTTTGATACACTCTCAAGCCTATGCCTCCTAATTGCACTCGGCATGAAAACTTCGGTTTCCAAAACCACCCCATTCCAACTGAACGTTGACGGCACAAAATAGTATTCACTAAAGTTAGCACTTTCACCGAATTGCAAAATGTGTCCTTGTATCGTTTGGATGACATTTGATGATACGGTGACTTGAAAGATACCTTTGTTGTACATGGCTAGGATAGACCAGGAGAAATCATAAAGCTGGATATCAAGAAGTACTTAAAGGTTTTTCTTTCTTCAGAGATTTTTCGCACTCCATCGTGAAAAATTAGCCAAAAAGGAACATCTTGACCTTTGAATTATTCCGCATATTTTTGTCTCCATTTACTTGCATCAGATTTCAGACACTAAAGAGCATGTTCACTGAGCTGTCACGGTGATTATTTCGGCCTGCAAGTCTGTTGATGGTGACACGTTTTTGGAGATCCCTAACACACTTTTCCCGGATTATCGTTACCCTAATGGAGATTCAATAGTTACTTCGGCCTTGCGTGAGCAAGGTTTGACAGGGACTAGAGCGTGCAATTTTATTGGACAGCAATCTTTGCCATTTTTGACAGTGGGCACGTGGAATATCCTTCCTGCTACAGTTACCTACGATTTATCCACGACTCAGCTCAAGTCACTGTCAGAATTGGGCACTGAGACGCTTACAGCCCAAAAATGTTTCAACGTTTGAGTCAACTGAAACCTCCGAACGAGCAGAACGAACCCGACCAGGAAACTCTAGGCAGATGCCTCGGTACTGTGTACTAATGCGCGAATCCGCCTTTTATACTATCCTATGGTCGTAGTTGAATTTTTCATTACAACGTCCCGAAAATTAAGGGCAAAGTGCTCATTGGAGTTTTCGGTGACATATTACTCAACCAGAATGCGAGCATCAGAGATTTCATTGAGCGTTATAAATCGGAAGCGAAATTTCGTGTCAGCTCATCCGACTGCAAGAACTAACGGTCAGCCAGTGGTAGTTCGCAGTGCCGTATGGAAAACCAGGTTCATGCATTTCGTTAAATGAGCTGCCTATAAACGTTCAGAGTAAAGCTTGTGTCATTGCAGGACCTGTTCCTGAACTCCCAACTTATGGGGGAGCGTTTTCGTTCACTTTCCCTAGTTAATGATAAACTTTAAAGTCAATAACTCCATGTCCTCATGTGATGTATATAAAGACAGTTTGTGCTGCCAAATATCACTACTACCACAACTTTTTTGGTTCGTCTTTTTTTACCTGTGAGGAGTTCATGTAAGGCTCTGTAGGATTTTAATAATGAATAGAACGTTAACTTGGTTTATATGCTCTGCGATATCGTTTTTAAGTGTTTGTTTCAGTCGCTCTTCGCCTATGTGTAAGGTGCGATGTTTTTTTAAATATAATTCCCGGCGACTTACATGGTATCCACATGCATGTTCCGAGAGTGTTGTTGACACAAATCAGTGATACCTACCGCGCCATTCGGCGACTATACTGTCGAAAATGAGTTATTTATCGTACAGGTCATATTTGCATATAACAAACTAACAAGAAATTGTCTACGATGTTGTGGCATTAGCATCAGCCTGTGCTGCCTAATCAAAAATGAAGCGAGCACAGTTTGGAAAAATCACCGTCTTAGCTCTGTCCTCATAGTATCCGTGACTCAGGAACCAAGGAGTCAGCGTTAATTATTACGTCTTATCTGCACATCACGTGTGATGTCAGTCTCACAACTATTCAAGCTTTGTATAGGTGGTTATTAGGCACAAATTATGTGTTTAGCTAATAAGTGTTATCATTTGCAACTGCGAATGTTTCCATTAACATGGATTAAAGCATAAAGAAACAATGACAGTATGGTACTTAGTTAACAAAAACATCGAAAGCATATTTGAATGAACATTTAGACGACATGCACTAACCTAGAACGATGAAATTGCAAATCAGCACAACAGGAAATATACTCATTGCACTTGAAGTCGTGCCGTTACATTCTTACCCTGATTTGATCCAACCAACACTGGCTTAGTTCAAGTGGCAGATTGAAGGTCTAGTTGTCAGAAAATGAACTGAAAATGAACTCATTGTGCTGAAACGTCTAAATGGATCCTGTAAACTGTATGTCTTATGTACTCAGCTCTCCTGGAAGGGTCGAAATTACTAGCGGGGCCTGAAATCAAAAATGATCAACCCAAGGGAGACACCAAACACAAGAGAGAGTATTTACCAGAAAAACTGAAGTAAATCGGCTAAAGGTTGCCGGAGATGGCGGAGCTACATAAAAATAATGATGGAAGTTGTTCTTCGGAAAGTAGGAGAGGATATTGTGGGTTTTCAGTCTCTTTGAGTCCTAGTAAGGAAGTAGCTTCATGGGCGACATTCCAACGATAACGGAAAGTGCTTTCTCTTAGTACACCCTCGGCTAACCAGCTGGAGCAACATAAGCTGTGATATAGTTTCAGCGTTCTTGAAAAGGGTTGAAAAGAAATGATAGATATATGAAAAAATATATAATTTACCTACTTTTCCCGCTTGGCTTTCTCCTTTTCGTTCTTCCTTCAATCTCCTTTATTCCGCTTCTTTTCAATTTTAACGTGCAAATACGGTAACATATGGTTGGAAAACGGTGGATGATAACTTAATTTGTTACACCAATGCGACAGGCTTTCATTCCGCGACCGTCTGTTAGTCGGGCAAAGCTTAATTTAGTCAGGGGCTGGCTCTGCACAATGAACTGCTGACACTTAAGAATAGCTCAAGGATGGAGATTTCCGAACTTTTTGATCCGAATGCAGATCCTTGTAGGCGGCTGCAAAGTATTGGGTGTGACGTCAGAAGTCCATCCACACCAACCACGAATATCCTGTTAACAGATGGATGCGGGACCATTAAAGGGGGTGGCTTCATATTAGCGTTGATCTGACACGCTCTAAGAATAAACCTTTCTGTTTTACAAACGCTTTCGATAAATCAAGTTGTACGACATCAGTTAAGGCCGTAAGATGGCAAAATAGTAGGCTCGTAAGATTGCTCAAGCCGGACTGCCTCTTTATGCACCAATTCTGTTTGGTGCTTGTCTGTGCCCAAAGGCCCATATAGGTGCTCAGCAAGATGTCTCGATATTTCACAGATTTTAGAAGTGACGATTGCCCTTAAGATCACTGGTGAGAACCTAGTCTTAGCTTTGTAACCGGGCTGGATCTGCTGGTTTCTTCGACCTAATAGGAATATGCTAGATGTGCACATTGAAGCAGGTTTGATCGGACTGTGGATGACAGGTCGGTTTGTCTGACGGAGCTAAAGGTGGAGCCCATTCGGAACAGCTACCTCTGCTGGCATCAAGAGTTCACAGCTCCTAAAAGGCATAATAATCTTTGAAGTATGATAGCATAACCTACTCATCAGCCATCTTGTGGTAGAGGTACCGTGGCTGAATACACTCACCCGTTTGATGCTACTGATGAGGAATGTACGGTCGAAGCCTCTGCAGATTCTATTAAGGTTTGGTTGTGTTGCTTCCTGGAGTAATCTTTGAGATTTAGGGTTGTAGCTTGACTGGATTGTTCAGGTTGTTTAAGTAATATTTAGGGTCCCCCTCAGTTGTTCGGATTGATAATTGTACCTTGGTGGCACACTGTGAAGTATCTCATATTGCTTCCCATTTAAATCATGGATTATCAGGTCACGGATCACTATATATTCTAATTTGTACAAGACTATTGCCCCAGGCTTTGCCGTTGTCTCTGTGAGGCCTGTCAACCAGTATACCCGAGAAGCCACTGTCCATATCTGTGTTGTTTTGCAAAGCCTTCCTTGTTCAATCATTATGACAGCGGGATGAAGTGGGGCACGTGTAAGCTTCACGAATTATCGTGTGTGTCATATTTCATACTCCGCCTACCTCCACAAAGGAACAACCTCTAGGCAATTTTCATCACGCAACTAAATAGGGGTTCACATGGGGACTCTGAATATCAGCAGATTCAAGACTTTTCTGAAAAATAAATAGCGAACTTCGCGGCTCCCGTTGGCCGTCTTTTCCATGACACAGATTTCCTAGTACCTGACATCTGATGAAAGCATGTTGTTCCGTGTTGCCTAAACGGCCTGCAAAAAAGCTGCTCGTGAATTGCTTCTCATGAAGTAATAATAGCATCAGAACTGCTGCTGACGGCTCCCTTTTTTGCTCGCCTTGCAATTCGGTTCCAGTGGATTATGAAACTCCGGCAGAGCATATAAATGATCTTCTGTTACGAGGTCGTCCTCCAGAAATGTCATATGAAAGTTGATCATATTAGTCATTAGTAGTATTCAGGCCAGGACAAATGCTGGTGAATAGAAGCTCCCAACGTGCCGCACCATCCGTGAAGAGCCACACAATGAATTTCTTTTTCGTCGCTTCCGTCAATGCTTTGGCAAGTTTATACTTGGAAAGAAACGGGTGCACGCAAACCTGAAAGCAGAACCTGAGCAATAAACAGCAACCTAAAGCGATGAAAACAATAGTGTGAGAAGGAGGTATTTTCTTTTACCAGTATTACTTATAACCATTGAAACCTGAAGGGTGGTCCCGAGTCGACCGAGATGGACAAGAGCATATATTTTGTGCGTTGCTTTCCCGCATATAATTGCGCACACACAGTGTGCACTGTGAATTACAGTGAAGATTTTATTGTATCTCAATCAAACTAGTAGAGAATCTCGGGCCCAAAATAGAAAGAGGTTTGTGGAGGTGCATATGCCCTTAAGAAAACTGAGGGAAAAGTTACCAAGAGTTGATGGGACCCAAATTCGCCCTTTATTCTCAACCGCAGAGCAAAGGTCAAACTGAAGGATGGCCAAGCAGCCTGAGTGAGGAAAAGAAAAGAAAAACAAGCCCCAGAATAGTTCATTTTTGGATGATCCACCTTGGTATTTTACGAACCATGCGTCCGCGAGTTTATTTTTTGGACCGTCGGGGCAAACGCCGATAGAGCATTTGTTTCTATAATATTCAGTAGTCGATGTGTTCGGCTAATTTGGTGGGTGTGCTTAACCAAACGGTTGAGAAAGTGTAAAAAATCTATTTTCAGCACGCCTGAAGAATAAGGATGGTGACTTGACGTCGTCAAGTTGCACAAACGTACGTCTACTCTTGAGAAAACACTTCGCACAAATGCTCTGTTGTCCCCGTCTTCGCACAAAAACGGGGAGATCGTTATGAATACCTGTACATACTGGACAGGAATTGGACAAGAATGTGAGATTTCGATAAAGCCAAGCAACCCCACGCGCCTCTGCCAATAAGATTTAGGAAACAGTAAAGTGAAAAGCGTCCCTGGTTTGTGATAAATATTTCCTGAAAAAGAAACCCTGTGGACGGTCGGAAAAAACGTAGCGCAAATTTTTAATATCTCTACTGTTTATACTTAGTCTCCATATTATCTTGGTTTGGTTGTCCAGAAACTCTTGTAACTGATTGCGATGCACGCCTTACACTAGTGCAGTTTTTCGCGGATTTTCTATCCATTCTCATTGGAAGTGTTCACAGTTCGTCATGTCGCTCTCAGTCTTGTGTGT